CTCTCATAAAAAAATAGGCTGCTACCCTCGCCAGGTGGCTCAGTTGGTTGGAGTGTCATCCTATACACCAAAAGATTTTGGGTTCAATTCCTAGTCAGTGGATGTGTGGGAGGCTACCAATAGATCTCTCTCTCTCTCTCTCTCTCTTAAATATATTTTATTGATTTTTTGCAGAGAGGAAGGGAGAGGGATAGAGAGTTAGAAACATCGATGAGAGAGAAACATCGATCAGCTGCCTCCTGCACATCTCCTATTGGGAATGTGCCCGCAACCCAGGGACATGCCCTTGACCAGAATCGAACCAGGGACCCTTCCTTCAGTCCGCAGGCCAACGCTCTATCCACTGAGCCAAACCAGTTTCAGCTCTCGCTCTCTCTCTTTCTCTCTCTTTTGCTCTCTCTCAAATCAATAAAAGCATAACTTTGAATAAGGCTTAAAAAAAAAAAAAGAAGGCTGCCCAGGATGGGATACCTGAACCCACTATAATGTAATGTCAGAAGTGCAAAGACTGCCTGTTTTGTTTACTGCTGCTTCTCTGGTGCTTAGAATAATGCTAAACACCTCATCGCACTAAACAAGTGAGGATGGATGGATGGATGGATGGATGGATGGATGGGAGGTCCCTGGCAAATTTGGACAAGAAGTAAGATCGGTCTAAATATTTTGCTTGAGGTTTAATATTATATTTCAGAGCTCTAGAAAGTGTTGGTGTATTAGACATTTTCATTTCTTTTTCCGCTTCTCCTCATCTCGCACCCGATTCTGTCCGTTCCCTTCACCAGTTTTCTCACCTGACAAGGCATCTTCTCTTGGTCCGGGTCCGCTCTGAGTGAGCAGCGCTATTCTGGAGGGGGTTCCTCATGACAGTCAAAGGAATTTATTACATAGGGCCTGTGTGGGGTGGGAGTGCGACAGTTCCGTGGCCCCTAAACCTGAGTCCTGTGTGTCCCGTTCCCACCGTGTTGCATTATGGTCTTATTCCAGAAGCTTGTTCCTGTCCTTGTGGTTTGCTGCTTGGAAAATCACCTTAATGCAGGTGAGTCAACACAGGTGGACACGATGAAGAAGCGTCATTTGGAACTGGAACTTCACACGTGAACGTGCGGAGGCTTTCTGCTGCTAGAGGGTCCGAGTTCTGTTTCTTAGCATCTCCGTGTCTTTACTAGAATCCATCTCAGAAGCGATGAAAGAAGAGCCTTTCTCTTAAAAACTGTCAGTAGTACTCACTTATTTTGGACAACACCCTCCTTTAGGAGAGGAACCATCAATAGTAAAAATCAGTATTTGGTCCGAGGGTGGGTGCTAAGGGTGGGGCGTTCCTCTTCATTCCTTTTATACAGAGTGCCCCCCAAAAAATGTATACACACTTTGAATGATCATAAAGTCAGTGTTTATTAACATACAGTTCATTTTCAAAAATTTAAAAGAATCGACAGAAATGAATAATTTTCTTGTCCATGCCTGTTTTCAAACTCATGATCACTCTGGTCCAGGCACTGCTGATAACTCGAAGCAATGGAATCACAAACATCAAGAATCATTTTGTTCAGTATTTGTGCGCCCTCAATTCGTCTACTGTTGCCAGTTTTGTACCATAAACTTTATGTATCCCCATAAAAAATAAAGTCCAGTGGCACTTTAGGATTCATTTTCTGTGTTCAGAGCTTAGTCTGGCTTCAACCATTATTTTAAATAAACCTGAAAAGGACTGAAAATTAAGTGAGTTATCAGCTATTAAAGTGTGTATACATTTTGGGGGACACCCTATATTTCAAATGTATATAACCTAACTCTGAAACATTTTTAAAAGATTTTAATTTGTCCAAATCATGGTCTTAAAGGTGATATTCTAGATACAATTTTTTTCTTTTATGTCATTTTTCCTATAGACAATGTTTACTATCATGAATTGGTGTAGGGACTCAACCTTTGTGTCCTAGATGCAGTGAAAAGTATTGATCTTGCCCAGCCTGTGTGGCTCAGTGGTTGAGCGTCGACCTATGAAGGGCGTTGGGGGAGATGGTCTGTGGTGCGCAGTTGGATTCGAGCCTCCTACTGTACACTAAAAAGTTGCAGGTTTGATTCCCGGTCAGGGCACATACCCAGTAATGGATTTGATCCCCAGTCGGAATGCGTGCAGCAGGCAACTGATCGATGTTTCACTCTCACATCAATGTTTCTCTCTCCCTCTCCCTTCCCTCTCAAAAAAAAAAAAGTACTGATTTCATTTCAACTTTGATAAACATCATTTTATACAGTGGAAGGAAAAGGCCTATTTGCAGAGCTAAAGACTTCTGATTCAACAGTCGCCAAATTTAGACTAAATAAATACCAGTTATGCTAAGTGCCTTCCCAGTGTCATCCCAGGAGGCCTCCTCTGCCACTCTGAGTTTTAAGTGTCATTATCTCCATCTTTGGGTGATGAAACTCAGCCACACAGTAGTTAACAACTTGCCCCGGGTCACAAAACTAGGAAGTGATGCCCAAATGGAAACCTCTGAGTGTGAGGTTAAGAACTTTGTAACAACCACTACACAGATGACCAAGGTTCAAACACAGGGCCTCCCTGCACCCTACCCACATCGCCTTTGCAGCTGCTTTCATTAGAGTCAGACTTGCAGTTTCTCTAAGAAAAAGCTCTAATCTTTTCAATCCCTTGGACCAGGGCTCAGCAAACTGCTCAGCCCAAAGCCTGATTTTACTGGAAATACAGTTTTATTTGCACGCAGCCCAATCCATTCATTTACATAATGTCTATGACTGCTTTCATTCAGTGTCAGAGCTGAGGAGTTGTGCAGAGCCATCTGGCCCCCAAGCATAAAATATTTACTATCTGGCCCTTTACCGAAAGCTTGCCAACCCTGCCTTAGACTCTAAGGCTTCAAGCCAGGACCAAAGCATGTAGTAGCCCCAACTCTGGCCCACCTGCCTGGGGCACTGCAGGACCCTTGCACTCATCATCCCCCTCACCTTCAGATGTAGCTGGTAGAGGGACATCAGAGAGCCATGAAATAGACTCACGCCTTTTGGGCATTCGGTGGTAAATAAAGGATAATTGTAACAGAGCCACCAAGAGAACAGGAAATGCTTTTGTCATGCAATCTGTGTTGGCACTGTCATGCATTCCTGGCCGCCTCCCTCCAACCAGAAGCAAAAATGCTTTGAGTTATGCTTCCAAAGCTTTTAGAAAACCAGAAATGTCAGGGTTGTCTGTATGTCTCTGGTTCCTTGCCTTTTCCCGAAATTTTAGGGACAGTTGGCTCCAAGGGATCGCCAGACCCTTCCTAATGCACACCAGGTCAACAGAAAAACAAGCAGTAGAGCCAGAAATAGCAGCCAACTGTTTCCCAGAATCCAGCTTTCCTAAACCCATAAAGCCACAGTCCCCCTTTTAAAAGTCCTTTGAACTCGGTATAATAAAGGCAGTGCCTGAGTTAAGTGCATTATCATTCCTGTTGTTTGGAGGTAATATACAGATGGCATCGAGCTCTTCGAGGTAAAGACTTGTTCCCTTCCGTGTTCTCTGCGAAGCCACAAAGCACACTGGGGCCTCCTGGCTTCCAGATGCCCTTCCATGACTGGGAAGGGAGGTGCCTTTTCTCCTTTAACCCCTTCCCCAATAATTTTTTTGTTAAAAACGTTTCTTTTTCAGACTAATTTTTTTATTTTGGTTCTATATAGTATTTTTGATGCTTGTTATGAAAACAGTTTGTAATTATTTTTTCTTTTAATCCAGCCCCATCTTCTTCCTCTCCAGAGACATAGGCCAAATAAGTAGCTCTCACTGGCCCGCATTGACTCAGAGTCCTTAGCATCACCACCCTTCTCTTGCCACACATGACACGCCTATTTCTAAACAGGTGTTCCTTTTCAAATTTTTGTTTCCCCAAAGACTTTAGCTCAGAATAAGCCAGGTGCAGTGGCTAATGAGTGGAGATACGGCACTGAACTTGGCTGGCTTTGCAGGTCCTCTTCCCTCCTCCTCTGGAATCGCAGGATCCTGGTGAAGTCACCCAGGCTCCCTAAGTGTGTTGTGTGCTCAGTGCCTGGCCACGTGGGACCTGGAGAAATGCCCTGGTGCCCTGGCCCTCTTCTTTCTGCCTTCAGACTCACACCGTGAAGAGGATTCGCTAGAATCTATTGCATAGCTGAGAAACCAAGTATTGTCCTGATCACATGGGGATCTTACAGAGGCAAAAATATAGAGGGCCCCAAAAATGTACACACACACTTTGAATAATTATAAAGGCAGTGCTTATTAAAATAGATTTCATTTTCAAAATTGAGCTGGGGAGTGTGCAGGAGGCAGCTGATCGATGTTTCTCTCTCATCGATGTTTCTACCTCTCTATCTCTCTCCCTTCCTCTCTGTAAAAAATCAATAAAATATAAAAAATTAAAATTAAAATAGATTTTATTTTTAAAATTGAGCTGTCAGCTGTTACAGTGTGTGTACATTTTTGGGGGACACCCCGTATAGGTCTGTAATTGAGTTTTCTGATTTGCTTTTGGTTGATTTGAAAACACATCAAGCAGATTTCTTTCATTGCATGTCGATTTAGAGCCTGAGAAAGAAACTATTGCGGCATCACAAATTATGGCAAACTTCGTGGCTTAAAACAACCTGTTTATCTCTCAGTTTCCGTGGGCCAGGAGTCTGGCTACAGCTTAACGAAGCCCTCTTCATGGCTGTGATCGAGGTATAGGTCAGGGCTGTGTCTCACTGGAGGCTCGACTGGGGAAGGGCCTGCTTCCAAACTCACGTGGTTATTAGTAGAATTTCCTTTCATTGCAGGCTCTCACACTGAGGGCCTCGGTTCCTCACTGGCTGTTGGCTGTGGGCGGCCCTCACTTCCTTTTCACAACATGGCAGCTGGCTTCATCACACCCAGCAAGGAAGAGAGTCCCTGGAGAGATGAGCACTACAATCTTAGGTATTTATGTACAGGTAATCATGTGTTTCCCATCACCTGACTATATTTTACTAGTTAGAATAGAGTCCCTGGGCCCTCGCTCACGGGATAGGATCACACAGGGACACCAGGAGGCAGGGATCTGGGGCACCACGGAATCTGTCTACTACAGAAACCTTCTCCTCTGGCAGGAAAAAGAAATTAGCAGTTGGATTTCTTTCCTCACATGCCACTGTCTTTGCCCTTTCTTCTCTCAAAGGATGAAGAAACGTTTGGGTTGCCTTGAAATCATCACCCACCTCTCTTTTCTTTGCTCCAACACAACTGTTGACTTAACCAGTTCCCATAACCATACACAGGACTGCTCGCCTAGTCAAGGTTATCTTGGTTGCAAGAAAGAGAAACTTGCCCTGGCTGGTTTGGCTCAGTGGATAGAGCATCAGCCTTCGGACTAAACGGTCCAGAGTTCGATTCTGGTCAAGGGTACATGCCCAGGTTGTGGGCTCGATCCCCATTTGAGGGTGTGCAGGAGGCAGCCAATCAGTGGTTCTCTCTCATCATTGATGTTTCTATCTCTCTCTCCTCTCCCTTCCTTTCCCAAATCAATACAAATACATTTTTAAAAAGAGAGAGAAACTTGTTCAAGCTAGCTTAGTTGAAGAAGAAGAGTTTATTATAGGGATGTCTCAAGGGACCTATCAACAGAAAGGCCTCCACACATTTCTCCCACCCACCCCCTCTCAGTGGCTACCCACTAAATCCGAAGTTCCATGTTCTCAGGTCAGGCCACAGGCAGATTCCTGTGCATGTCTGGATGCCAATTCTAACTTCCCAGGAGCAAACCCAATTGACCCAGCTTGGGTTAAATCTACACTCCTGACCCAATCAGCTGTGGCCGAGGATTGGCTGGCTGAGTACAAATGCTTGGAGATTGGATGTTCTCAAAGGGAGGGGTAGCAGCCAAAACGGTTTTGATCACAGCCACAGACCAAATATAAAATGTCTCACCTATTGCACGTGCATTCTCAGCTCTGGATCTCAGCTCTGGATGGTGATTGGAGAGAGAACGCTGGAGTTAGGCCTAAACCACAGGCTCTCAGAGGTAGGCAGGAGCTGAAGGGCTGGCATGTGGAAGACTGGTCGGCCTTCTGTGGCCTTTGCAGGCAGGAATAGGGGAAGTGGATGCCAATAGCAGGGAAGTGGGTTTCAGCTTCATGTAAAGAACTGCCAGATACTTAAAACCCACCTAATCTTTTGTCATTCTCTTGTCCCCAAGAGCTGCACCATGATCCTGGAATGCCCTTCTCAGCCCGCAACTTTGTTTTATTCAAAATGTTTTACAAGTACATATGTAGGCATTTCTTGTATTCATTCCCACGGGCAGAGTAGAAACATACCACTTTATAGATGAGCAAGCAGAGGTAGGGGTTCAGGGTCCCCAGAACTAGAATCCAAGACCCTTCCTACCAC